TAAAGATAGTAGAGAGCCATAAAAATGTTGTAACATACGTCTTCATAAAAATTRCACATCAATAAATATAACTGTAGGCAAAGGAAAACACAAAATAAAAAAATGCATARCCACATCAAGACCAGAAACACTTTAACAAACCCAAATTTTGTTTCAATGAACTGTGGAAGGAACAGACTGGCTTTCTTATAAAAATAAATATTTGACTGCACTGGTGTCAAAAAATTACAATAACTTGTAAGATTTACCAGAAATGATGAAGCATATTTCTTCTCTTATTAAAGGCCAGACCATGTCTTATTGCTGGCTGGGAAGAGTGCCTCAATGGAAGAGGCATGACTTCATCCACATTTAAAAGCTTTCAGCTTAGAGCTTTTATTTGCTTTACACCAGGGGAAATTCAAGCATATGTCCAAAAACTATAGAAGCAAGTCTCCCTCATGTAATATCCTGCAGAACCTCTTGTAACCCAYATCTTTCATCTAGGGAAGGGTGAAGAGCATGAGCTGGTTAAAAATATGTATCTTTGTGATTTAAAAAAAAAAATCAGAGAAATTAAAAATCCCAGTCATAAATGCAGAAGGGTCTGATACAGATATTGATAATCTGTACATTAAAAACTCCACAACACTTCAGTAAAAAGAAAGACAAAAGCTGAGCTTTACAAACCATCATCTATTTTTCTTGCATTCTTAGAACACAGCCTCTAAAATCACCACTACAACATTGCTTAAAACAAACAAACAAAATATCATCATTTTAATTATTATTCAAAGAATASTGATTCATTCCAGAGCAAACTAAAAAAAGTTAAAAAACAAAAGTGTCTGGTTTTTGTGAAACTCAAAGGAAAAGTTGCCCCTTTCTGTTCTGTTAAGAACATAAATTAAACAATATCCATGTAATACAGGTCACCCCAGGAAAATGGAAAATCCCACTTAAAGACAAAATGTTATGACATGACATCAGGACATAACAAACTGTTATGGGAGTCTCCACATCTTGTAGAGAATACAGTAATTATGTTGCCAAATATAATGTAGTGTAGCTGAAGCTATGACACTTATAAAAAGTGAGGAAAACAAACAACACAATTGAATGCATGGTTTTAAGACCAAGAAGCTATAGCCTGCATGCTGAGGGAAGCAAATGCAATGAATGGAGGAGAGCTGAGAAAAACAATTTCTTCCAGGAAATAAAGGAGCAGTTAACTGGTATTGCAAATGAGTACMATATTAAGCCATAATAAAGCAATAATTTATATCAGAAGCTCTGAAGAATAAGTAACAAGACACTGCCCTGACTCTATTTAGCTACCTATCAGTCATGTTCATAAAAATAATTTCTAATGTCTGTTTTTGCTGGCCTCAATTCAGAAAGGGTTATTGTAGTCCTGTGAAATTAAGTGCTCAGAGCTGTGTGAAAGCTTTGTCTAAATGATATACCTACCTTTGCCTAATACAAAATTACATGACCATAAAATTGAGCTGGCAAAGAAAATGACAAAAATATTTTATTGGATAGGGGAGTGCCTGTTCTTTTAAAAAAAATATTATTTATTTAAGCCAACTTTTTTGACCTTTGCATATTTTCAGTAAAACTGCTCTCTCAAATACTCTGGATACTGTTCTTCAGGARGACAGTATTTTGGATGAAGTTAACACAAAATATTTTTACCCTGTCACTAAAATCACTAAGTGCTATTATCAGTTAARGCGCTTCTTCAATTAAGCACTTTATTTTTAAAATTCAGATAATATACATAACCAAGCACTGACCTGCAGAAGTCAGGTTCCCAAAAAAAACCCTGACCACAATTAAGCAGTTAATTGAGAAATACAAGCAAACAAATAAATAACACCAAAACTCCCAAATATTTTAGGGTCTTCTTTCATTCCTAAGTGCATATGTGCAGACACAGTCACTGTGACCTACTGAACCATGAAACAAGAAGTCAGCAGCCAAGGAAAAATCTTTGCAAATACTTCCCAGCTGACTTCTTACAGTATCAATCTTTATCCAAGAAATCACTATCTATTCAGCACCCTTGAGAGTATTTTTTATATAGGAATATTTGACTAAGCATACAGTTATCAAAAATAACTGAAAAAAMCTTAATGACACAGTACCAAAAAATATACCATGCTTAACACATTCCTTTTTTTTTCTGGAAACATATTGTAATCCTTTAACTCACAATTGTTGCGCTATGCTCTTAACTTCAATCAAGTGATTTTATARAAGTATTTCTGAAAACATAAATAGATCTCAGTCATTACAAATATTTGCTTGTGAGTCAGTTTGAATCTTAAAACTGCATTTTATCTTTTGAACGAARGAATCATTTTTAAATACCCAAAGTTTTTGGTATGACCAAAGAAACAGATTCTGTTGAAAATCCTTGTACCAGGTACCAGTAGTTCAAGGACTTCTGTTCAAATAACCAATGCAACACAGACTTGATCAGACTTCACTTGATTGTCAGCTTATTTTAGTTATTATTTATGCACAATTATCTTATTTGCATCATAAAAAAGTTATATATAGCTTCTCTATGAAAATTACAATTGTTTGTTACTATTTGGCCTAAGAGCTTCTTTCCAAAGCAATTTAAGGAGCATGAGTTGCTGGAGGATTAGAGTTTTATCTGGCCACAGAGGTATCAACTAGTTAATATGGAAGTGTTGGGTAAAACATTGACTGCCTAAGGTATTAATGACCTCAGTTAAATTTGCCTTACAAAAAGAAATTCCAGTGAGGCAAGCTAAAATAAATCAAATGCTAGTAAGTCCAAGTAACCATATTAATATGTTATAACTTCATGCACACACAAAACCTGAGTTCATTCCAAATGAAATTGTTAGTTGTGCTTCTGTTATGGTTTTATAGCTATGGCAACGGTAAATCATCAATTGAACTTCACTACTAAAGCATTTAGAGACAAGGGTGGAGAGGGAAAAAAGATTTTTACACTAGAAAGAATTCAAACTGGAAGTAGCACTGAAAAGTRGACAAAAATTTATATACCATGAACMCAGTAAAAAACTGCCTTTGGGACGRTGCAGTCCTTTYCCCATTTATTTGGGGAATTTTATTTATTCTGTCAACMAGCAGCATTCCTTCAAACTCATTTYGCAAACCTCTCCCTCTCCATTTCTACATTTTCATATCTGTTTTCCCCATTATGTTAATTGACTGTTGTGAAGGATTTGTGACTGCTTAAAGTCTTTGATGTTTACGTCTACTTCCCATTCTGTTAATTTTTCATACAAAGCATTTCATTACACTCAACATAGTGCAACTTAGGCACTAAAATAGGTATTTTAGTCCCAAGAAACAGAAGGGACTATGAAGATGTTATAAGAAATTTTATTGTCATGGATTTCTATACAACACCAYCATTAAATCAGACAAGTCTGATGGACAGCTGTGGAATGGCAAGGGCTATATCTCTGTGCAGGAAACTACATTAGTTTCAAAGAGGATGCTGCTGAGGCAGCCTCTTGCCCAAGAGCCTTCAGTCAGTCAACAGCTAATTTAAAGCTGTGCAAAGGAGGCTGTTATCTAAAGAAGGCTCCAACAGGAACTTGTCAGTGGGAACCTKTAAAGACTCAACACTTGGACAAGGGCATCACAATAGTAACTACAGACAAATGTGGAACAGGAATCCTGTGTTTCAGGATTGCAGCAATTTCTACACAGTTGCCATATTTCAGAGGGGGGAAAAATAAAGTTTAGTGGGTGCTTAAACCCACCCAAAACATTTTGTACAAGTCTTGATAACAGAAGTAATTTCCTTCACACAATCTACACAACTGAGTCTGCACCATACATATGAACAACATAAAAATTCTAATGCTTTATTACTTCTACCTAGACTTTTCAGATTTTTGTTTAATACCAAAATATACTTACATTGGCTGTAGGAAAAATCTAATTGAAAGGAGGCATATGTAGTGGCCAAACCTAATCATACTTTAGACCAACTCCACAAGCATCTCCTTGACAAAGAGAAGTCTACAAAAGAACRTAGGAAGTTGAGGTATTTGGAGGCTTCTCAAGAACTCACATAAACAAATGCACAACTTTTTCCCAAGTTTCTTGCAAATTACATTGTATCCCAATAAAAACTGAGGACTAACATAAACTTGTAAAATTAAGTTCAAAAAATCATTATGGAAACCTTCAAGAATCATGTAAAAGCAGGGTTGCACTTACTATATCTGCAAATCCMGGCCTAACACACATTAAGACATTTGGGCTTTGTTAAGTTCAAAAGGCACAACCTGAATACCTGTCAATCTGCTGACCGAATTTTTGTGTGTGTGTGCATTTGATACCAGGTCATAAGGCCTGCACTTTCACTGAGGACCAATTTACCTAATTTTGTGTGCTGCTCAGGAATTCACATTAGACAACCTGACTAAGTGCTCTGTGTGGCTACATTTCCTTCACATAATCAAATGTCCTTAAGGTTTGATTGTAAAATATCAGGATGGTTTATAAGTAACGAAGATAGGAGGCTTATGATGCTGTAAATTATATCTGCCCTTGAGGGCTGCACTGACTTAATTTCTCAAGCATTATAATGATCACATATCTGAAAAAAGAAAGAAAGAGGCACAACACACACAAAAAACTAAACAAAGCTTGCATGCACATACCTAGCCTCAGCAAACAGCTGAGAGAAGTGCAGTTCCAGTGCAGAATGCCAAAACAGTTTTGTTGCACTGATCCCAGTCAAAAGTTGAAAATGWAATCAAAGATGCACAGTCCCTGAAGTTGATAAGTTCAAATGATCATACTGAAGTGTTCATTACAAAAGAAATTCTGAATAGAAAGTAAGGCCAATGGGCACTTCCAAATTATGCTGCAAGGAGAGGTCTGCTTGTAGTTACAAGTGGATGTTCATGGACATCTGGCAGAAATGTTGTAATATTTCAAGTGTGTTTTTAAATGCTCACTAAGATGGCTACAAATATTATTTCCTCCCACAGACTGAAAAAGCTGCTTGAACAAGAGACAGTATATCAGGCAAAAAAAGAAAAGGAAAACAACAAGAAAATAGCTAAACTGAAAGAAGAACTGAGTAAACTGAAATCCTTTGCTTTAATGGTCGTGGATGAACAGCAAAAACTCACTGAGCAGTTGAATCAACAGAGTAAAAAAATCCAAGAATTAACCACTTCTACAGAAGAAGCACACGAGAAGCTGGCTWTTGCTAAAGCAAAAATTCAAGAAGAGAAACAGAAATCCAGCAGGCTGGAGGCTGAACTTCACGCCCAGAGCAGTAAGATTTCCCAAGATCAAGAAGCAATGACGGCTAAACTAACCAATGAAGACAGTCAGAATCGCCAGCTTCGGCTCAAAATAACTGCTCTCAGCCGACAAATCGATGAGCTGGAAGAGACCAACAAATCTTTACGAAAAGCAGAAGAAGAACTGCAAGACCTAAGGGATAAGATAAATAAGGGAGARTGTGGGAATGCCACACTTATGAATGAAGTAGAAGAACTACGGAAACGRTTGCTGGAGATGGAAGGAAAAGATGAAGAGCTCATAAAAGTGGAAGATCAGTGTAGAGAACTTAATAGAAAGTTAGAAAAAGAAGCATCACAGAGCAAGAACCTTAAAGGGGAAGTTGATAAACTTAATAAAAGAATTATGGAGCTGGAGAAACTAGAAGATGCTTTCAACAAGAGTAAACAGGACTGTTATTCCCTGAAATGCAATTTAGAAAGAGAAAAAATGTTAACAAAGCAGTTGTCCCATGAGCTGGATGGTTTAAAAGCTAGAGTTGGCGAGCTTGAAGCAATTGAAAGCAAGTTAGAAAAAACGGAGTTTACACTTAGAGAAGATTTAACAAAGCTGAAGAGTCTAACAGTGATGCTCGTGGATGAAAGAAAAACTATGGGTGAAAAAATAAAGCAAACAGAAGAAAAGCTGCAAGCAGCAACTTCTCAGCTACAGGTGGAACAAAATAAAGTGATGTCAGTTACAGAAAAGCTGATTGAGGAAAGTAAAAAGGCACTGAAATCAAAATCTGATGCAGAGGAAAAAATGTCCAGTGTTACAAAAGAAAGAGATGAACTGAAAAACAAACTCAAAGCAGAAGAGGAGAAAGGAAGTGATCTTGTGTCCAAAATGAATATTCTAAGTAAAAGACTTCAATCACTGGAAGATGTTGAAAAAGAGCTTCTTAAAAATAAACGTAAGGAGGGTACTAAATCTAGCACCTCCTTGCAGCAGGAAAACAACATAATCAAAGAGCTTTCTCAAGAAGTTGAGAGGCTTAAGCAGAARCTCAAAGAAATGAAGTCAGTAGAAGATGACCTTATGAAAACTGAAGATGAATTTGAGTCTCTAGAACGAAAATATGTCAGTGAGCGAGACAGAGCCAAGCTCCTGTCAGGGGAGCTGGAGGCTGTGAAAATGGAATTGGCAAGGTATAAATTAACAGAAAAGGCAGAGTCAAATCAGGAGCAGCGCCTTTTTAAGAAACTCAAAGAAGAGGAAGCTAAATCAAGTCATCTTTCCAGAGAAGTAGATGCACTGAAAGAGAAAGTTCATGAATACATGGCAACAGAAGACCTAATMTGTCACCTGCGAGGTGATCACACAGTCTTACAGAAGAAACTCCTCCAGCAAGAAAACAAAAACAGGGAGCTAGCAAGAGATATGGAAAGCCTCACAAAAGAACTGGAGAGGTACAGATCCTTCAGCAAGAACATCAGGCCTGGTCTCAATGGAAAGAAAATTTCAGATGTGCAAGTTTTTTCTAAAGAAATCCAAACAGATCCAGCAGACAATGAACCACCGGATTACAAAACCCTCATGCCCTTAGAGCAAACCGTCATAAATGGGCAGATCTRTGAAGACAGTGATAATGAGGAGGAACAAACAGCATCTTTCAGAAGCAACTCATCCACCACAAACGCTGCAAACAAAAAATTATGGATCCCCTGGATGAAGTCCAAAGAGAGCCATCCTCAAAATGGAAAGGTACACACAAAGCAAAATGGAAACTGTACACAGACTGGAGATCTAGTGCTAAGCCATACACCTGGCCAACCTCTCCACATTAAAGTAACTCCAGACCATGGACAGAACACAGCAACCCTTGAAATAACCAGTCCTACCACTGAAAGCTCTCACTCCTACACAAGCACAGCAATTATACCCAACTGTGGCACTCCAAAGCAAAGAATAACCATTATCCAAAACGCTTCCTTAACACCTGTAAAATCAAAAGCAGGAGAAGGTTATGTGACCCCAGAGCATGTAATTTCTCCTRTTACTATGACTACTTTTGCAAGATCTCAAACTCCTGAATCGTGTGGTTCTGTAACTCCTGAAAGAACAATGTCCCCTTTGGCTTTACCCGGCTCAAGTTCTCAGGAACAAACGCTCTCCTCGGAGCCTTTGGAAATGGGAGCCAAGCATGCTGTTTTTAGAGTATCCCCAGACAGGCAGTCATCATGGCAGTTTCAGAGGTCTAACAGTACAGGATCAAGTGTAATAACTACTGAGGATAACAAAATCCACATCCATTTAGGAAGTCCTTACGTCCAAGCTTTCACCAATTCCAAGCCCATCAGCCCTTGTAATGCAGTGCAAGACAACAGAACTCCAGCACTAGCTAATGGCCTCCCCACTAAGCCCACCAATAAAATCACCAGCAGTATTACTATCACCCCAACAGCCACTCCTCTTCCACGGCAATCACAAATTACAGTAAGTAATGTCTATAACTGACCCCCATCCATGCTGACACCCTTACCAACAACCCATCCTGTTTTTCATCCCAGCAAGAATTTATTTGGAACAACCTCTTTACATTGGGAAAGATCTGTGCATGAACTATACAACAGCATATGGAACTAACGTTAAGTTTTGCCTGCTTAGTGTTATTGAGTGCACTTACTGTATATCTTCTCATTGAAATACAGTTATGTAAAGTATTTAGTCTTGCACTTGTATAAATGCATCTTTATGTATTACCATTTTCAAAATAACTCACATTACTTTTGACTGCAACTTGCCTTGGTAAAATATTTTAACATTACAAAAAACCAGTAAATAATTGATTATTTTCATCATTGCTTGCTGAATATTTTTTTTTTGTTTGTGATGTGTGGTTTGTATTTTTCTGCATGTATGGTAGAATTTGAATTAAGCCATAATACTGCCTGCTAACTTCAGATAAGACTTGATTATCTTCCCTGCTATTTCCCAACTCCTTCTGGCCCTCTCATTTCAGGTAACTATCAATACATAAGACACAAACACACAAAATACTATSTAAGGTATAACACTCATTGGTTAAAACTCTTTTTAAACCTTTTAAACCTTTAAACCTGCAAACTTTGCTTGTAAGTGAACTGAGTTCAGAAGCTTGTATCAAAGTAATTCTCCCCAAAGAAGGGTTTTTTTTCCCAATACAACAGAAAAACTGTAATCGTTTAGGTATACTGTAAAACAATAAACAGCAACATTTATATTTCTAAACAATAATTCAGGAGAATAGATTTACATGTAATATTCAAATTTCCTCTAAGCTCCTAGCCATCAGTTTGACAAACAGTATACATCATACAGGTACACTGAAAAAGAATCAAGATTACCAAACTGTGCCGTACCTTCACGTTTTTCACTTCACAGGCAGAGAAAGCTTGACAGATGCATTAAGAAGCAACACTAGACCAAGTCTCCAAACATGCAGGCCTCTGGGATAGATAGGACTGGACAACAGGAGTACAAAAAGGACAGAGCAGGTTAAGGTATTTCAATGACAATTACAGTATTTGTGCTGAGGAAAAGGACAGAAATGTGTGCCAGGGACACACACGTGTGCCAGCAGTCAATTTTAATGTCCCAAAAAATACTGCTAGTGATGGAGCAKATTCACATACAATGTAAATCAGTCCAGAAGATCAGGAATGCACTTTCAAACATCTCTTTTTTGCAAAAGCTGTATACTCCAAATCTATACTGTAACAATAGCACTTATTCCAAAAAGTTAAATGCCCATATATTTGTTTGGGGGGG